GTCAGTCCCTAGTTCTGTGTTAGGTTGTTTTGTTAGATATCTTGTCTTAAATGTACAGGGAGTTTGAGTGATAAATCAGGTCTTCTTTTCTTTGGAAGAGAGAGGAGGATTGTGCTTAAGGCATTTTTTTTGTTTAGGTTGAAACCACAAAACAAACAGGTTCCTAATTCAGTCCTGGTGCAGAATTACTGAAGAGTGCAGGAATGTTATCAGGCAATTTGGAGATTGTAATGATTGTTTCATTGACTTGTAATAGTCACAGCTTTTGTCACCAGAATCATACTCTGACTGTAACTTTGGCCTGAGAAGGAGGTGTGGGATTGAAAACCAAACAAACCCTGCAGCTGTTGATTTAAAGAAACATGTGTGAGTGGGTAGGATAGAAGTCTTTTTTTTCTCCAGAACACCATGATGGGATAACTCTGCAGCTTTCTGCAACAGGCTCAAGATGTCTACTGATTAAAGAAAACAGTGCATTAATTGCTTATGCCTTAACAAAACTCCACAGTTGACACCTCTAGACCTTCAGGAAAAGATAACTGAGCTGTCTCCCTTGGAGACATTCTCTTCCACTTCTGCCAGCAGATGGCTTTGTTTGTAAACTTAGTGTTTTGAAGGCCAGCATTTGGTAATCTGGGAGCAGTAGTTTGAATGCTAATAATACTCATCAGAAATTGTTATTTATTAAGCCATCTGACATTTACGAAGAATACCCTGAGCTTGCCAAGTGTTTCTAGCTCACTGCTGAGGAGCATGCCACTGGTTAGAGCATTTAATTAGCAACCCCATATCTGGTCCCCTGAGTGTTAATGAGCCTCAGCCTCCCCTGGGTCCTGCTCCCACTCTTAGGTGGGCCCAGAAGCCTGTGTCAGACCAGCCTAGTGCTATCAGTCTGTGTGGGAGCTGTGTTACCAGTGTGCCTGTTCCAGTCCCAGCTGCTGTGGTGTTGACCTGGAGCCTGCCTTTGTACTATGACTACCAGGCTGCTCATGGGACCTACTTCTCTTACCACCCATGCAGGCAGCAGGTCACTGAGCAGTGCTGGTCTCAGGGTGAAGCTGCTTTCTCAAATCACTTCTTGTCTGGTTCCTCTCTGTGGTGGCCAAGCTGCAGCCACCTAGAGCAGCTTTATGGCCAAAGTGGAGCCAAGAAATAATTTCAGTAGCTGTAGATATACTTATTGGAGATGCTGCTGCAAAGGTTTGGCTGCCTTGAGTTGGCAGAGAGAAAGGGCTGATGAAGCAAGACCCGAGCACTGACTGTGGTGGAACTCCTGGTGCAGCTGTGGGAGAGGGACTTGCTGCTTTACTTTACAGTCCCTGTGACACAGAGATGTGACTCAAGAAGCATGTTGTAAAGTGAACTTGAGTGCTTTTACAATGCCTTTAAAGTAAACAATGTATGTCCTTTTATCCTCATGGATAACCCTAAAGAGCTCCCACTGATATCCATGAAGGTGGGATCTGGCTCCTGGCTGATGTTCCATATTACTAACTTCAAATAAAGATTTGTGCTTACATAAAATAAACCTCAGAAGCCAAAACTAATTTTAGAGAGTAACTTTACTAAAAATAAATTTGCATATCTTTGGTTGGTAATAAATGGCTTATTTAAGAAATGTAATTTGATTCATCAATGACTCAGGTGTTATTGTATTAGGTAACAGGCTAAGAGGAATCTTTCATTCATAGTGGAGGTCTCTTAATGCTTCTGTATTTATTCTGCTTAGTTTTGTGAGAATTGATAGGATTATAAAAATGTAATATTTGCTTTAAACATTTTAATGATGTGTAATGCAGGTGCATTTGAGTAAAATATTTTTTGTAGTGTAAAAAAGTAAGGTTTTTTTCTTTTGTTCTCAGTGAAATAGCTTGTAAATTAAGTTGCTCTATGTGGCTCTTTTGAATTTGCTTTAAATTACATCTGGACATATATGAAGGATGACCTTCTAGATTTAACAGATTAGATATATAATACAAAAAATGAAACCGGAATTTTTGTCTCCTATAGGTTTGTGAGAAACAGAGAATAATAAGTCTGAGAAGAAATTTTTTAAAAATTCTGCTTTGTATCTTGAGCTGTTAGCTTCCTGTAGTGTTTAGAATTGTAATAAATTTAGAGGTTGGTTTCACTTGTTGGATTTTTTTTAACCTGCTAGAAGTATATCCCTAAAGAAAATACTTTCCTATTCTTGTTTTGCTGTTATTTCTGAAGGTAGCCTTGATGACGCCTATGAAATACTACTTTTTTTTTTAACATTTTATTTTATGTTGTTCTGCATTGATAGCAAAAGACAAAGAACCCATTGAATGCATTATTTCTATTCATAGTGACATAATTGGTCATACAAACCTTCCTGAATAAGTAAATATTTCTTTGATTTGGGTAATTGCTGTTATATAATACGTGGAAGTATCACGCAGTCGTATACTGAAGAAAAAGCTACTTGAAAAGGATGTTTTAAGATACAGCGGATATATCTGTATTCTTTTTTTTATTTTATTTGTGCTGAGTAGCCTAAGTATACCTAATTCCTGTTGTCTACAAAGACAGGGTATGTGACATGGGAATGTTATCAAACCAGTTGTGTTCTCTTATCAGTGTCCAGCCTATTAGATTCTACTGTTGACTGTAAATAAAAAGAAACTTGAAATCAATGGCTCTGCTTGGTATAGAGACTCTTTCTCCCTGAATTATACTAAAACATTTTTCCCTTGCAAATGAGAAGGGAGCTAAAACTGAAGAATGTAATGTTTTCACCTTTTCTTTGAGGGGTAGGGCTGATGCAACCAAATTTACAGCTAGTCGAGAGAAAGAAAGAAAGAAAGAAACAGATTTTATGTATTTTTGCCAACTGTTGTAGAAATCCATCTGCGCTATTGCAAAATTTGTAAGAGTTCCTGAGAGAAAGAATGAGAGCATACATGTGTTTTTCTCATTCTGATTTGTTTGAAAGGATTTGGCTATCTGCAGCATACAGGAAGTGCGTACTGCCTATTGATGGTGGGATAGGGGAAGGCACGTAGAGTTTCTTCTTGTTAGTTTGGTCACTAATATGGTGATAAAAGAGGATTTGTTTTTTAATATAATACATGCTCTCCTCTTTTTTGAATTTTTTCTTTAGTGTCTTGTGCCGGTGAAGAACATTGCTGTGCCTTTGGCAGTGGATGTCTCTGTGAGAGAAGGCTTTTCTACAGCTTCAGCTGTGGGCTATTCCTGTCTTACCTAGCCTGTACTTCTCTTTCTTAGGGACCCCAGACTCCAAGCAACGAAATTTTCCTTAAAAGCACCACTTAATGGATTGCTCAGACAATTAGGTTTGTCTACACATACTTAAAATTGATCCTTCATTTTTTGGTACTTCAGTTTTAAGAAAACAATTTGACCTTTTTTGTTCTTAAAAGTAGTCTCTGTCTGTGCTAACACTGCTATATTTTCATTGCCATATTAACTTTTTGAGACAGAAAAGTTGGAGTAATCACAGCTAGTTGGTCCAGTCAATTGTTTTTTTTGGTGAGTTGGTTTTGTTGGTCTGCTTGGATTTTTTTCTGGAGTAATATTCTGTGTACCAAGAATTCAGAGGCTGTTTTAAGCTGTACTTGACTTTGCAGTGCTCCTGATAGACTTTCATCTGTCCTCAGCAGCACACTTTGTTAGAAGTTCTGCACCAGCTTTTCCATTGTTAAACCATCTTCAGCAAAGCCAAATTATCTCTGTTAGAGTATACTGGCTTTCTGGCTCACTTTGTTCTTTTATGTAAGGGGAGGTTCTTCATATATCCTGTCCTGATGAATGTATAAAAATGCAGGATTTGTTTTTACTGTGAGAAATCTTGTATTTCAGCATTGGTGAATCAACCTCACCTTATTTTTATCGCCTAAATTTATTACTTTTTGGTACTGGGGATCCAAAACTGGTTTGCCTGTTCCAGATGCGTATTCCTGGATTGATGGCTAAAGGCAAATAATAGGTTATTAGTAGAATCTTAGCCTGTAGATGTACTCCAGGATATTCTTGACACTCCTTGCTGCCTTGCTCATGTTTAGCCCACTTTCTGTCCAGACCCCCAGCTCCTTTTGGACAATGCTCTCAGGTACATGGTGTGATTCTGTGGGTTGACCTGGGCAGAGCCAGAAGTAGGACTCAATGATCTTTGTGGATTCCTTCCAACTCAGGATAATCTGTGATTCTATGATGATATTTGTAGTCCTTCACTGGACCCTCTCCAGTAGTTCCTTGTGCCTTCTGCATTTCAGGCAGTGTGGCTGGAGCACTTGCTGGTGAAGACTGAGGCAAAAATGTCATAGAGTATGTCTGCCTTCTCCATGTCCTGGGTGGCCAAATCTCCCATTTCCTTCTGAAGGCCCACATTTTCCTTAGTCTTCCTTTTATCACTGAAATACCTATATAAGCTTTTCTTGTTGCCCTTGACATCCCTGGCCAGGTTTAATTCTATCAGAGGTTTTGCTTTTGTAACCTGATTCACGGCTACTCGGACAATTCCTCTGTAATTCTTCCTAAGCTACCTGTCCTTTCTTCCACTCTCTGTAGGTTTCATTTTGTTTGTGTCTGTCAAGGAGTTCCTTGTTCATCCATGCAGGCTTCCTAGCATTTCTGCCTGACTTTCTTGTTGTTGAAATGCATTGCTTCTGAGCTTGGAGGAAGTCATCCTTGAATATTAGTGAGTTTTCTCGGGCCTTTCTTCCGTCCAGGACTTTATCCCATGGTACTTCACCAAACAGATCCCTAAAGACACCAAAGTCTGCTCTCCTCAAGACCGCGGTTTGTGGTTTTTCTTAGCTCCTTAGTGGTTGGAGTGATGTCTAGAATGCTGCATTTCTAGACAAGCAAAAGTGTCCTGGTAGCAAAATATTAGTCGTGCATGTAATCTCTTACAAGCAAAGTTTTTACCATTCCAGCCACCTATACTAATCATAAATATTGTTTTCATATTTTTGGCTCTGTACCTTTCTTACATTTTACATCAATTATTTCTCTAGGTATTGCCAGGCATCTGAAGCGGTTGACCAAGCCTAGGGACTTGGAACAGTGGTAAGTAAATGAAATTCAGATTATATTATCTGTATTTTCACGTGCTGGCTGACTCTGAAGTTTGACTGCTGCTTGAAGGATGGAAGATGTGCAGTAGGTTATGACTTTTGAATGTTTTCTTCTGAGCATCAAGTTCCTTTTCAGAGCATTCACAGATTTTAAGAAGAACAGGATGTAGTCTCAGTGATTGCTTTCGATAAGTGAAGCTTCCTCCCCACACCACCCTGACTTAGAAAAAACTTAAAATATTTTGGGTACATCAGTTCAGTCTATACTTGTTGAAGTGGTAACATGACCCATTATATTAAAAACTGTAGTGTTCTTTGTAAAGTTAGATAATTTTCTTGATTCCCTGTGCTCATTGCTGATTTTTTGCATCTTAGGTGCTAATTATGTACCATTTTGACTAGAGAAGGATTCAGGAAGGATCTAAGGAAGAACTTTAAAAATTTCAAATACTTTAAAAAGTGAGTTTTATAATGCATTTATAAATATATTGTTTGTGCTTCCTTATCTGTAGGTATAGGCTGGCAAGGAGAGCCTTACACAGGCAGAGATAAACTCATCAACTCTTAATTCTATTTAATAATCATGGAATACAATAGAACAATAGAATCATTAAGGTAGGAAAAGACCTCCAAGATCATTGAGTCCAACCTTTTACCAAACACCATCATGTTAACTAAACCATGGCACCAAGTGCATGTCCAGTCAATTCTTGAACACTTCCAGGAGTGGTGACTCCACCACCTCCCTGGGCAGGCTGTTCCAATGCTTAACCACCCTTTCAATGAAAAAATTGTTCTTGATATCCAACCTGAACCTCCCCTGGTGCAGTTTGAGGCCGTTTCCTCTTGTCCTGTCACTAGTTGCCTGGGAGAAGAGGCTGATAGAAGAGGAGTATAATAATACTTTCAAAAAGTAACTGCATTTTCTTGCCAAGAGATAGGTATTTGGAATAATGTCGTATTTCTGTTTCTCTGGTTTCCATAGTAGAGCCAGTTAATGTGAAAAATTTCATATTTATATTAAGGGATGTCATTTGATTTCAGTGCTGTTAGCAGCAAATAAAAGTTTTTAGCACCTATGTATGTGGTTCTATGTGCTGTTGACTTTGGTGGCCAATACAGTGAGTAACCCTTGCCTTGTTTTTATTATTTTTTGCTTTAGTGACCTCTGAAAATCATGCTTGTTCTTCATTTCTAAAAATACCATTTAGTTAAAGCACTGAAGGAATTTATCAGTTTAGAATATTAGCACTCATGTAGTTCTATATTTACTATGTCCTTTCTATTTGTGCTTGTATTTTGCCAGGAAAAGCAAATAAGTGAATTTGTCAGTTAGTTTTGGATAATTCCTTTTTGCCTAGTGTTTATTTACCCCTGTGTCCCTATCCTCCACTGCCTGACAATTGTCAGGACTAAAATGCTGTATTCATAGTGTCATTAGTGCACAACTGGAATAAAAGCATCATAGACAGTTTATGTATCTTTATTCAACAAAAAATATAGGTATTCTTTCAAGTTCGATGCTGTTTAAGAAGTGGATAGTTAAGAATTAAAGAGACTTATTAATAATTTAAAATTGATTCTTGGCTAGTGTTACAGATAATGTAACTTATTTTAAGACAGCGTGCCTCAGACCAGTTAAGAGGGGAGTCGTGTAGCGCTTAGCAGTATAATAGAAACACTAGTACATGCATTAAGGTGAAGGTAACTTAAACAACAACTTGAGCAACTGTCACCAGCAGTTGCAAGCCAACATAGAGAGTTAAGTGTAGTGGTGATTGGTAAAATTGCACAGTTGATAAGATTAGTTCTATGTAGATCTAATATGTTGAAAAAAACCCTGAAATTATAACTTTTTCTTCATAATAAAATATGTAAATAATATAATTTCTCTCCAGATGTGCTAATGAGCACAACAAAGGCTAGTTGTCTGGGTTTTCTTCAAAGGCTTTGCATAATTTGTCTTGAGGGAACATTTGAAAATATCTAAGCAGTTCATTCCCTAAAAATCTTCATTTCAATTGCAGTTAAATAATTCATAAAATTGTAACTGGAAGCAAGAAATAAACAACAAAGATAAAAATTTAAAGGATCAAATTACCTTCTGATAATCTCTTAAAGAAATCTTTGGTATTTTGATTACTCTTTCCTCTTCTTTTTCTCCCCAGTGTTTCAATGTAATTATAAGAACATTCCCATACTTGCTGACTTGTATGTGTGCTCCTTTTGTTGCAATATGAGTAGGGTAGAAGCTTATGATGCCTTTTCTAATAAACATGAAAGATAGACTCTGATATTGTATTACGCAAAAAAGGACCAGTTATTGTAGTTTTCCATATAATGCTACTAACCAAAAATTGATTGCTTAGTATGGGGCGGTTAAGATCCTTCCAGGACTTGCATATCACAGCTGATGGTGATCCATGCTCCAGTGAGATGCCTCAGCAAAGGCAGAGGCTGGTGTTGAACATCTCTGGAAAACAGCAGGTACTTGGGGAGTGTTAGCCTCAGGACTCTGATGGGTGACTGTGAGACTTGTGTCTGAGGATTTGGAGGTTTGATCCTCTCTTTTAATAGCTGAAGTTTCCTCAGCCACTTGCTAGTAATTTTGACAGAGGTTGATACAAAGGTGCAGTCCTTGGACTATGGACTTTTTTCATCCCAACTGCTCTGAAACCTGCCAGATGATGTGACAAATACTCCTCTGTGTTACATGAAAATAAATGTTCTGACTAGCTAGTCCTGTTCCTCTTTAGGTGATAATACTTACTGAACTTTCCTGGATAGGGTCCAGGTTGGCACTGGAGGATGAGGGTTATGCTTTCTGGCCTTGGGAACAACTGGGAAGAAACCAAGGTGAGGGAAAGCAAGTAGAGTGCCTTTCTGAAGGTCTTTCCTTGTGCTGTGGTAACACTCAGAAGAAGGAATGCTGTGGTTTGCTCAAGCTTTTCTAGCTGTCATCTTATCTATGTGCTGAACTTTGCCTCATGATGGTAACTTCAGGAATTACATTTTTTTGTTTCTGATAAAGTCATGCCATACTTTATCTGGAAATTGAAAATTTGGTAATAGTTTTGAGGCACTAAAGGGTCTCTGTTAAACCCATACAGATAGGGACAGGGAGTAGATTTTTGGGGTTTTTGTTTGGTTTGGGATATATGGCTTTGTTTATATCAGTACAGTTTTGTACTATGTACATAATGGCACAGAGACAGGGTGGGTTTTTACCTCTGGAATTGAAAAATAGCGTGTAGCCAGTATTCCTGGTTTTACTTGGTTTTGTTAGCAGCCCAAATAAATAGGAAGTTAAATACTTGTACTGCTTTTCCTCTTTGAATAATCTCCTTTCGGTGTCTGTGCTTTACCTTTTCATTTTTATTTTTCATATAATTTATCTTTATGTACTCCTTCTTTAGAGAACTTCAAGGTGATTTTAAAGCACTAATCACAAATTGCACCCCACTTCTATTTAATAGAAACAATAGTAGTGGGCTTTTTTTCCAATTTCTTTCCTTTTGTCTGTCATTAGGGGGAAGAAAGGACAAGTTACTGAGTCCGAAAAATATTGTGGTTTCAAGTTCTTTCCTTGGGAAGGCACTGGAAACTTTCAGATGCTGTAAACCACATTGAACTGATAATTTGCTTATGGAGTAGAAAAAACAATGGTTAATTTTAATGTTATTATTTCTGGAACTTAGTGCAGTTCCTGATGTGGAGATGCCATGCCACAAGCAGTGACTAAATACCAGTTGCTGCTACAGGAAGAAGTGTGGTGTAGCAGATAGAACTGCCTGCCCTGACTCCCGCTTTCGACTTCTGCCTCTGTTGTTAACCAGTAGGTTAACAAGGGATATTAGGAAAGTTAATTAATTTCTTACTCTTTTTGTTGGCTTAAATTGCAAGGCCTTTTGTCCAGGTACTGCGTCTCAGTTCATGTCACTGTACTTTGGTGCCTGTGGATTCCTTCAGTTGCTATAGTATTACTATTGTTACTTGCAGGGTTTCTCATTAGCTCTGAGGAGCTCACCATGTGACATGGAATTCTGAAAACACTTGAATATTTGTTCTACAAGAAGAAAGCCAGTAATATTTTTCAGAGCCTTGTTTAATAGTGCATCTGGTCTTGCACAGCTGCAGGCTGATGCCAAAAGGGACAATATCACTTCAGCCTGTTCCTTCCCTCTTGCATCAGCCCCCAGTCCCAAGGTGAGTTTGAGGTAAGCAACTAATTCAGAAAAAAAAAAACCTAACTGCCTGGGAAGGAAAACTAAACCAGATAACTAGCTGGCTTGGCTTGTCCTATGGCTGAGAAATTACTAGATGTAACAAAAGGGACAAAGATGTAATAAGCAGCTGGAATTAGGTGGGGAGAGTAGTACTGTTTCTTTCAGCAACAGGTAATAAATATACCAGATGAGACATAGCATAGAAACCAAGGCTTATTAAGAGCTGCATTTTACAACCAGATTTTGAACACAGCAGAAGAATGTGCTGTGTTCAATGCATGTGCACAATGGATGTGACACCCTAGCTTCAGTTCTGCTGATGTTAGCTGCCAATATTAGATGTTCTTCACTGAAAGTATTTTTTTGTAATACAGCTTTTTAATTGTTTTTTTTTCCCCTCAAGTAACAGTCATCTTTGTGATCCACAGTATAATTTCAAGGCACATTTGTGATGCCTAAATATAACTTTTATTTAATTTTAATTGAAATTGAAATCCACTTAATCTTGCAAATTTGGCTGAGAGAAGTAGCTCTTGATGTGATACTTTCTAAAGACGTTGTATTCATAATTTCCCCTTTAAACTCTGACAAGAAACTTGATTTATCTTGAAAATAACTTATGTAATTGGAGTTGACTCTTTGAAGGGCATTTTTCAACCACTGCCCTTTCTTTTAAAAATGTATACAACAGATTATATCGGTTTCTTTGATCTTACTTTCTTTGTGAGCCTCATGTAATAAGATCTTGTGTTGAAGGACCTGTGTTTTCTCTCCCACTCACCATAGGTTTCCATGAAATAAAGAGGGGTGAGCAGGACCAAGGATGAGAGAAGCAAAATGCTAAAATGATTTTGGAAAATGTAGTGACTAACTTTAATTGAAGAGCCTTTACATACAGCTCACACATGCTTATGAGGACATGAATATTTCTTGTCAATTGCATTCATGGATGAGGTTGCCCAGTAAAATTCAGCCAAGCAAGAGCAACAACAGTTTAGCAGCAAAAAAAGCAAGTGTGTCTCTGAGAACGCTGCAGCCCAGCAGGGACCTTGGCTCTCAAGCTGTCTGTACAACTGACCTAGGCAATGATGTTGCTGAAATTTCACATCTGTTATTTCTTACTGCCCACTTCTTTGGCAACAGCCAATCTTCATTTTTTCCATTATAGGCAGCTACTGGAACTAAAAAGAGCTTGAACTCATTTTCAGATGTGCTAAATAGACTATGTTTTACCTTTCTTTTTTCCCCCCTTTTTTCTACCATGTACTACAGCACACTCACTTGTTTCAAAGGTGCATGATCTGTGAGTTCCATGCTGTGTACATGTCTGAAGATAAGCAGATGTGTTAGCCTTATGCATGGAAATAATTCCTTAGAAATGGGGCCATCATAATGTCTGGGAAAAGAGATATTAAAAAGAAGCTGTCAGTGAAAGAAGAAATCTGTATAGATTGAGAAGGACTGTGGTCAGGAGTCACCAATATTATCACTGAAACCCACTTTCTACCCTGGCTGTG